GTAGGAAGCGGAAGACCAACATGGCGAGCACGGTGCTGGTGGAAGACGAGGGAGGCTTCGGGGACGGGGAAAGGTTGGATTTCCTCAAGGAACGCCACGTGCGCTTCTTCCAACGCAGCCTTCAGATTTTGCCCGAACGCTATTCGTCACTGGAGACCAGCAGGTTGACAGTTGCTTTTTTTGCACTTTCTGGTTTGGATATGTTGGATTCCTTAGATGTTGTGAACAAAGAGGATATAATAGAATGGATTTATTCTCTGCAAGTCCTTCCCACAGAAGACAGTGAGTGAGTTTTTAGCTTTTATTTTATTAACATTTCATTACCTATGAATAGTGTCTTATCTTTTAAAAACAGAGACCATTCTCTTGTTCATCTGAATATTAATCAATTGTGGAAACTATTTTATTTGAACCTGACAAAAAGCTTGTCAGTCCTAAAATATCTTTGTTCTTACCTCAGTCAATGAACAGTGCAGTGAAGCTTGGCAAAACCCTGTACATTGCTGATAATAACTTTTGCCAAAGTAAGTAAGGAGTGAAAGTCGAATAAGATTCCTATGAGTACCTGCTGATAACTTTAAAAAGTTTGTTTTTGCATGCCCTGATACTAAAAAAAAAAATTTTTTTTCCTGAAAACTATCAGATATTTTCTCTTAATTATTTTGCTAGAATTTTTAAAGAATTATTAGATTAGTATAAATAACAATGTATTGTAACCAGTGCACATATTGTTAACTCTCCCAATCTGCAGTTATTTTAATAAATGTAAGGCGAATTTTACACTGCTGTAAGAAAATAGAGTGAAAGAAGTCACATTACTTGTTAGAAAGTTAACCAACAGGATGCCTGGAATACAATTTGCTTGTTGGATATTAGTGGCCTACATTCCATGTGCTGTCTGCTCCACCAGGCCTGAGGTAGATTTTCTGATGCAGTGAATGTAGATAAATGATGGTTGGTTTTCATTTTAATTAAATACTATCCTTCAAAACCAGTCTTTCCCAGTAATAAACTGTGTTTGTTAAACAAGACACTAACGCTGGTTGTCAGGCAAACTCACAATGCATTTTAGAGTTGGTGGATTATATCTGAAAAGACCTGTTCTCTTGTAGTTTTTCACCATACTTTAGTATGAGAGGGCACTTTAATCTGGGCCTGTAAAGTTCATCGTGATTTAAGTAGAGGGATGTTGGAAGAGGTTTTCCCTCAGATATTGTATCTACCTCGTGTTCTGGTGATAGATATATTTAAAGTATATTTAAAGTAAAAATGCTTCTAGATAGAAGTGAAAATTGGCTCAAATGTACAATCTCAGCATTGGCATCTTCTGTGGAACCATAGCAATATTATTTAAAAAGTATTAGCAAGTTTACAAAGGCACTTTTAATCTCTATACTAGAAGTCTAAAATACGAGAGGAAAACATTGGATTCATTTCAAATACTGAACACAGAGTAAAATGTTCCAGTAATCAACTTCATTATGAACTGTATGCAGGAGTTCTTGAAATATGAAGCTCAGAGTGATTTAGAAGGTATTTCAGGCATCGTTTTTATTAGGAGTGGTGATATCTTTTTAAGAACAGCCTTTCCTACCAAAAATAACCAAGTTCCTTACATTAATGCCAGAGAAATATTGGCTCAAATAGTAAAAGGAGAACTCAATTTTATTGCACTTTTAAGACAGATACAATAATTTTATAAAGTTAGGTTGTCACTGCTATGATTTTTAACCTTAGTTTAAGTGTTTAAGAGCAATAGCAGCAGAAGCACTTAGGCTTATATTATTGCTTCATAGTGCTTTACAGCAGCGCTCCCCAACCTTTTATGTTCTGTGGAGAGAGATACACTATATTGCCAAAAGTATTCGTTCACAACTGCTTCTGATTATGTGGATGGGTGAGCGAATACTTTTGGCAATATAGTGTATTTCCGTGGACTGAAGGGGGCATGGTTTCACATGCTGCCTGCATCCTGTGGGTGGAGCTTCACTTGTTTGCGCGCCCTGGTTTCTGGCATGCCACAGACTGGGGGTTGGGGACCTCTGCTTTAAAGCACTCTCTAAACAGTTTACAGAACCATCATATTACCTCCAACAATCTGGGTCCTCATTTTACAGAAGGGTGGAAGGCTGAAGGCTGAGCTGGTCAGAATCAAACTTTTGGCAGTGAGCAGAGTCACAATGCGAATACTGAATTCTAATCACAACAGATCCCTAAACCATACTTTTCTGGGTTTACCCAATTGCTAAAGCAAAGCCATCAAACTAAACAAGCTATATTACACTTTAGTGTGATGTTGTCATCAGATTTTAGTGTGAATTTCCTAGAATAGTTGTGGAGTTAAATAAATGGAATATTTTATATACTTTTGTGAATGTTTTAATCCATCCTAATTTATTTGGGGTTTTACCCTTCCCACAGTGCATAATGCTGTAATGAATAAAGCCAAAGACTGGGAAATTACGATACTTAAAATCTAGCATATCTTGAAGCAGCATATTTAAAAAAGCTGTTTTGCTTTTTTCAAGAAATAATAATACAATTTCTATAAACACTAGATGGCACCATACTATAATCCAGGAGTTTTTGACATGTCAAATTTTTAAGATTGCCAATGACTTGATATATACAAACATAAACACACATATATACACAGAGCTGTTCTGTTATCATACTGTATGTTTGTATCAATTATGGTAAATTATGAGCATAAGATTTTAAATTTGAGAAAGGGAGTTAGTTTTCCATCTAGGCCACATCTGTATACTAGTGGTGAGGAACACTCCCATAATTTATTTTAATTGAAAACTTTCAGATTATAATTTCAAAAGGGAGAATTTATATTTGGTTCCAAATAAAAGGAAAGATTAATGGCAGTGCCTTAGAGAAATAAATCTATTAGAGATTTAAGTATAATGTGTTGTAGTCTTTAAGGCACCTCAAGATTTTAATTTTGTTGACTCACTTACTTTGGTCTGATCTTTTCAGACTACTTCCTTTATGTAGTTGACCAAATAATATCTAGTTATTACTGTAATATTAAACTATGCAACTAAAATTATACATTCTAGCACTCATTGATACTGCAATGTGAAACTTAAATACTCCATTTATAATTTCAAAACATGCCGAACAATCAACTTTAGCATTAGACTTTTGGCAGCCCTTCTGGAATCTTTATTATAAAAGCTCACATTTGGCTGCTGTTTGTTTCATTTTCAAATTGCTGGATGACTCTTATTGTGATTTCTTTTACATTTATTGTGGTATCCCCTTTGGTAATTAATTTCAAGAGTACTTACATTAAAAATTATACCAACTTTTCCCAAATTGGTGCCTTCGAAATGTGTTGAATCATTTCTCATAATCATTGGCTGCAATTGTGGTTATGGAACTCCAACCCAGTCTAGAGGTACCAGATTAAAGAAGGTTGAAACCAAGTTTTACAGGGAGATGGATTGTGATTCAGAGCCAAGGTGGCGCAGTGGTTAAATGCAGCACTGCAGGCTACTGCTAGATCAGCAGGTCAG